CTGATGTCAGGGTCAAGGATGGTAAGATGATTTCTTGTGATTGTGATCCAGAGGTGTGTGAGGGCAAGAACGTCAGAGAGATTTGGCAAGGAGCTAAGGGTGTGAGCAGGGGAGGGGCTGCCATGTGTTGAGAAAGTTATGCTCCATTGTCCCAGTCAAGTCCACACAGAAGCCCTCAGTCCCTGCTTCCCTCCTGCCTCAGAATGAGCCTGAAGAAAGCCGCGTTCACCCTCTGCCTTCCTAGACTCTCTCGGCTCCCACCCTTCATATCTGTGGGTTTCTTCAGTGGCAATCTCTCTTCTTCTTTCCTTGGCCCTCCAGGGGCTCATTGTGCCTCCTCCCTCTGGAGGCCTCTTCTGACTGCCTAGACCAGACTTGATTCCTCTCTTGTCATTCCCCAACCCCAAAAGTCAGGACCTTTTCTGGAAGGAAAAAGGGATCTGAAATTGAAGTAGACACTTATCAGTCATGACTCACCTATTGCTCCAGGGCAGGAAGAAGTCTGTTTTGGACACCCGGGGAAGGGAGAATAACCCCCACATACATTGTGGACTGAGGTTGTCCTTGGAAATATACTGAGAACACAGGAAGGTGCACAGCCTGGAGTCATCCCTCCGTTTACCAGGGAACCTAGATCCTTCCTGCTTTCTTCCTTCCTTTTGTGGATGTCCCGGTTCATCCCCCCCTCCCCTTTTTTAATTGTTTTGTGTGTGGATGTTTTGTGTGTATGCATGAATGTGCAACACATAAATGCGGTGTGCCCTGGAGGCCAGAAGATGTTGGATCCCTTGGAACTGGAATTATGGGCAGTTGTGAGCCACCACATGGGTGCTGGGAATTGAACCTGGGTCTTCTGCATGAACAAGTACACACACCATAACTTAACCACCGCACGGTCTCTCCAGCCCCTCTGGGGCCTCTTCTGTTCACTGGGAACAGCCTTTTGGGACCTGCCTGGAGGTGTTGGCCACCCCAGCTAGGCAGGGGGTGTCTACTGGCTTCAGCCTAAGCTTTCTCCTCATTGTCCCTAGCCCATGAGATCATGTCCCTCCCCTTACTGTCAACTCACCCCCTGCCCCCAGCCCAGCCAATCAGCTTTGTCACTCAACTTCTGACTCGTCACTGTCGATGATATCCTATTAAGAGTTGAAAATGTATTTTCCTCCTGCCGATCTTTTTCCTTTTCATTTAGCAAACATTGATTTTTTTCCCCCTCCTGTAGATAGAATAGAAATGAAATCACATTGGTCTCTTCGGGGTGATTTACTTGTCAGAGCCTAAGGCAGTGGGCAGTCACCTGGCTCCTGTGTCACCTCATCCACGGGTCATTTGGTGACCTGGGAGGGTCATTTAGCCTTTCTCTGCTACTACATGTCCCTCAGTTAGAAAAGGAGACTTTGGGGCCCCTGGCTTTGGGGAGCAGGAAGCTCTTTTTACCAATCAGAGCTGCCTCCTCTAGAGGCTTGGATAAAAGCTTCTGAAAGAAAGCCAAGTTCAAGGTTGTGTTAACACCAAACACCATGAAGTGGCAATTATCCAATTAATGTGATTAGTGTAGACTGCACTAACAATGTCTGCTCTGCATCCCCTGCCTCCCACATCATGTGCTCTATCAGCTGCTCGGCAGAGAGGACACTGGAAGGGAGAGGCTGGGCCTCCAGAGACTCCAGCCTGCCCCTCTCAGCGCCTGACTCCTCTGACTTTTGTTTGGAGATAATAACCTTGTGCCCATGATAAATCAGTCTATTACGATTCATAGGCTAACCTGGGTGGGAGCCTCTGAGGAGACCAGAGAAGCAGGCACATGAACGAAAAGCACTTGAGGAAGCACATGATACAGACAAACCTGCAGCCAGGAGCTTCTTCTAGGGCAGCATGTGTGTACAAAATACAGCAACTTTGTGCCTCTATTTTCATGATCCCAGAGTACAAAAAAAACAGGCTGGTATTTCACAAGGAGAATGGCCACCACAATAGCCGTGGGAGTGTTATTGCTGATGGTGGAAATAATGGCGATGATGATGGCTATGTTTTGGTGGTGATCGTATTATTATTGATGTTGATTGTGTTCTTTGTTGGTGGTCAAGATATTGATGGTGATGATATGATGGAGTTGATGGTGATGATTATGGTAGTGTTAGTGGTGATGACAATGATGATGATGGTGTTGATGGCTATGATAATAATGATGGTAATGGTTTGGATAGTGTTGGTGGTGATGATGGTGAGTGATGGCTATGTGATGTTGATGGTGATACTTACTGGTGATGATGATAATGATGGTGATACTGATGCTAAAGAAGAGGATGCTGGTGGTGGTAGTGGTGAAGATGCTGATGGTGATTATTGGTAATGCTTTGGAGTAGCTAGTGATTTAATAGTGATGTTGATGGTGGTGGTGCTGCTGAATGTAATGGTAATGAGTGTGAATGGTAATGGCTGGAACTGATGAGATGCGGGTGATAATGCAATACCGATGTTGAGAACAGTGAGGATGCTAATAGCGTTGATGACACAGATGGTGCTGATGATGCTGACGGTGATGATGCTGACACCGTGGTGGTGGTGGTACTGCTGAAGTGCGATGGTAACGTGATAGTGATGCTGACAGCTTTGAGGATGCTAACAGTGATGGTGTTAATGATGCAGACAATGGTTGTGTTTGATGGTGCCGAGGGTATTGACAATAGTGGTGGTGATACTGCCTAGGTGTAGATGGTCTTGTGATGGTGATGCTGATGGTACCAATGATGGTAGGGAAACTGCTGAAGAAAATGATGATTTTGGTGGTAACAAGTTAAAACACCTCTCTTTTGGTTCACCTGTACAGCCAATGAAGGAAATGGCCTTGCACGGAGCCCTTTCACAGACATTCCTCTGCTTCAGAGTTGGGGTCTAAACTTTTCTATTAATTCTGAGTGGCTCTTCGGCTTGCTGAACCAATAAGCTACAATAGAAATGAAGTCACCAGACTTCCAAGGCTAGGTGAGAGGAAGCCTTGAAGCTCCCTGCGTGAGCCTTTCAAGACATTCTGTGAGCCCCGAGCTGAGACCTCAGAAGTCCACATTCCCTGAGAAGGTACTGACCAGGCTGTGCCAGGGGATGGTAAGCACTGAGCTGGGTCGTCTGATCATGCTGCAAAGAAAGCCACAGTCGACTGTCCAGAGCGGCTCGCTGCTATCTGAATGCCCATGAACATCCCGAACACCATATTAGCTGGAGACCTGTGTCACTCCTGACCCCCACAGTCTTGGAATATAGTTGACTGTCTTTGTGAGCCCCCAGATGTAGGGGCCCCATGGTACACTACAACCGACACTGAGGCAATATGTTTGCCTGCTTCAGGTTCTGAGGCATGTTCTGGATGGGCATGGCATCTGTGGGTGGCGGTTCAGCTCAGTATCTCAGGCCTAAGCCCGGCCTAGCCTTGTCTTGCCATGGGGGCTCTTTTGTACAAAGAACGCTTTGAGACTTGGTTCCTCCATGTGAGAAGGTAATACACTTTGAGGCCAGCACTAACAGAACTATAAAACATCCCCGTCGAAAAAGCCAGTGTGAGCAAGGAGATTTAACCAGGGCACCATAGTGGCACCAAGCAGGGCATTCACAAGGAGGGACAGGCATGAGGGTGTCTCCCATACAGTTCTAGGGTCCTGATGCTGACTAGAGTTTTGCCCTGCTGATCCCTGAGGATAAGGAGCCCTTGGAGGCTCTGGCTTGTTGCCCACAGCTACCCTGAGGGGGTAGGGGAGCAGCACCTGCTCCTTTTTGTACCAGCCAGAGGGGAAGTGTGTCAGCACTGGCTTGCCATCCTGATTTCTCAGAGCCCTCAGAACTTACCTGGGAGAAGGGGCGTGACACAAATGAGAACTTGGAGTCTTTAAGCTTCAGGGACTGGACCAAAGGGTCAGTGCTAGGGCTGGAATTTGATACAAGATCTGCAGGACCCCTGAGACTGTCTCCTTGTCATCTCATGGGGCCACACGGTAGAAATCGAGTGAGCTTTAGTTAAGGACAAGGGGCATCTTTCTGAGAAGCTCCCTTTCCTTAGAGGAACATGTGTTTTCTTTGGAGCAGGTTCCTCCCCTGAAGAGGGTAACCCCTCCCAACAGGGCAAAGCTCAAAGTCTCCTCCAATTGAACACACCCAGTGCAATAGATCTTACGTTTTATTTGGGGGCTTGAAGGAGAATGCAGTAAAATGCTAAGCTGTGGAAGTGGGGACCAGGAGAAAGCTCTTTGCTTGTTGTATCCTGCAAGGTTAGGACCATTTTTTATATGCCCTTGTGCTGAGGGTTTTAGATACTGTGGGGTAAAATATGGAGATAGGGCTTAGGAGACATCAAGGGCCTGCAGACACCGGGCCTGGGATAAGCAGCCAGATAGAGGGACAGGGTAGATCCACAGTCACACCCAGGAGGGTAAGAATGTGTGTCACACTTCTTTTTCTTTTTCCCTTCCTTCCTTCCTTCCTTCCTTCCTTCCTTCCTTCCTTCCTTTCTTTCTTTCTTTCTTTCTTTCTTTCTTGGGACAGGGTTTCTCTGTAGCTTTGGAGCCTGTCCTGGAACTAGCTCTTGTAGCTCTTTTTCCTTTTGCTTTTGAGACAGGGTTTTGAACCTGTCTCAAGAGTTCAGCCTGGCTTTGAACTCACTGTGTAGCAGGGCAGGATCCTGAAGTCCTCCACATTCTCTCACACCCAGCTCCTGGCTGCTGGGATTACAGGCGTGTGCCACCAGACCTGGTCTGTGTGATGTTAGAAACTGAACTCGGGGTCTCATGCACACCTAGGCATGCACTTTATCAACTGAGTTACAAACCTAGGCCGGAAGTGGCTTTGACACAAGGCTCCTTCACCACCAAGGGACTCCTACCACAGCATTCTAAGCTCTGGGTATCTACTATTTCTTTTTTTTTTTTTTTTAGGCTTGTTTTATCTTAATGACTGATCCACCTGAGGCCACAGGCAGCCCACTATGTACAGACACAAGGGAAGCTCTAAAAAATAATATGGAAACCTTCACGGATTTGCGTGTCATCCTTGTACAGGGACCATGCTAATCTTCTCTGTGTCGTTCCAATTCTAGTACATGCGCTGCCGAAGTGAGCACGGTATCTACTATTTCTGCCCCAGACGTCCCAATCAGACCGCTCTTTCTGCAGTCACTGTATCCTCTGAGGTTTGAGATCTGATACACATCCTTTCCCTCCTGGGTGTGATGAGGAGTCCACCTGTCCCTCTGTCTGGCTACTGATCATTGATCCAGTTTTCACCTCCTATGTAGTCTAATGGTAACCACAAAATGGACACCACACTATGGGCAGATACACTGTGAGCCCATGCCCACACTTAGGTATGCATCCCGTGGACACACACAGGGCTCACACTTGCCATGGATGGACATCGCGACCATAAGGACCTGCAGTGTGGGTAGCCACTGAGACCCCGCTCTCCCACGTGGAGCCTGCTGCTCAAGGAGGTGAAGCTGTTGTACCCCCTGTGACAGCTCTTCTCTTCTCTCCCTCTTGTTGCTGAGGAAGTAGTGGGTTGAGGGACTGAAGTCATGTAGCTAGCGCATGGCAGGAGTGGGTTTGGATCACCAGGGCCTCCAAAGCTACCTTCTGTCTCCTACCTCACTGTGACAACCTGAATGCCTCTCTTTACACACACACACACACACACACACATGCACGCACACACACACACACCTTTGTGATCTGTGCCTTGCACATACCGTCTATCAATATGTGTCTTGGATTTTCTATTTTGAATGACATGTTTTGCAGAATGAAGGCTTTTAATTTTGGTAAAGTCAATTTACCTTTAAGAAAGAACTCAAGATTTTTGTGTGCCATTGTTACCATAAGTTTTCAAAGATTTCATCAATTTTTTTTTCAGGGCCCTTTTAATGTTTGTTAATTTAGTTTAGTTAATTGAGTTAATTCCCTTTAGTTCTCTGTGATCTAGTTCAAGTTAACATCTGTGTTTGATGTTGGGGTTGATGTTTAATTTTTTATATGGTATCTTGAGAGCATTTTTGTAACAAGTTCTCTACTGCATTGTCTAGGCTCCTGTGTCAATTGTCATGAGGTCTTATTGCAGGGTTCTAAAATATACATAGCATCTTTCATTTGTTCAATATTTCATTTAAAAGTTGTGTGTGTGTTTACACACATGTGTGTGAGTGTGCACATACACACGAGAGTGCAGGTGTCTGCATAATCAAAGGCTGATGTGGGTGTTGGAAACTGAACCCAGTCCTCTGCAAGACCAGTGTGCTCTTAACTGCTGAGCCACCTTTCTGGCCTCAACTTATTTCTTTTAAATGAACATAAAACCACTTTGTGTTTGTGTTTGTAGACACACTTAAAAGCAGGAAAATTATTCAATTTCATTTTTCTTTCAAAAATTGCTTTGACTGTTCTAGGTAATTTACTTGTATTTCTACAAATGAATTGTCAACGTCCGTCCAAAAATTGTATAGGGATTTTCAATGGGACTGTGTAGCATCAGTTTAGGAAACCCAAAGTCTTACATCAAGAGCTCTAATCCATGAATATGACATTTTATTTATTTATTTATTTATTTGTTTATTTATTTATTTATTTATTTATTTATTTTTGAGACTGGGTTCTCTGTAACTTTGGAGCCTGTTCTGGAACTAGCTCTTGTAGACCAGGCTGGTCCCGAACTCACAGAGATCTGCCTGCCTCTGCCTCCTGAGTGCTGGGATTAAAGGCATGTGCCACCACTGCCCAGCTTGGTCTATCATTTATATATAGCCTTTTTTACTCCCGCAGTGATTTTCTTTTTTTTTGAAACAGAATCTTACTGTGTAGACCAGGGTGACCTTGAACTCACAGAAATCCATCTGCCTTTGTGCCCTAAGTGCTAGGATTAAAGATGTGTGCCACCACACCCAGCTATTTTATTTATTTATTTATTTATTTATTTATTTATTTTTTGAGACAGGGTTTCTCTGTGGTTTTGGAGCCTGTCCTGGAACTAGCTCTTGTAGACCAGGCTGGTCTCGAGCTCACAGAGATCCGCCTGCCTCTGCCTCCCGAGTGCTGGGATTAAAGGCGTGCACCACCACCGCCCGACTATTTTATTATTTTTAAGTGTGTGCCTATGTGTGTGTGTGTGTGCACGTGTGAGTATAGGTGCCCATGGAGTCCAGAAGAGGGCACTGAATCTCCACGTGCTGGAGTTACAGTGGTTGTGAGCCACCTGACACGGGGGTTGGGAACAGAGCTCAGGACCTCTGCAAGAGCATCACACGCTCTTAACCACCAAGCCGTCTCTCTAGTGCCTTCTGCAGCCACGTGGTATCTCCCCGACTCCATCTTCTTTCTCCCTGCATTCAGTTTAGTTTCTCGCCTCTATTCTGCCTTGCCATAGGCCAAAACAGCTTTATTTATTAGCCAGTGGTAATAAAACATATTCACAGCATACAGAGGGGAATTCCACATCACCAACTTCTGGCTTCCATAGATGCAGATACAGCCTGATGCTCTCTTGCTCTAGCTGGGGAGGGGCCACACCCTCTACTGACAAAGGGGGCATCTCTTTTTCATGAGATCCTAAAGCTGGAGGCCAGGGAGGCTGCCCATCAGGATGGGGTGTGTCACCTCCTTCCTTTGCCATGCACAAGGAATTAACTGAGTTTTTTTGAGTGTTTCCTTCTCACAGTTAAATTCTATTTTGTTTTTAAATTAAATGTGTTTTTGTTTGGGGGTGTGTGTGGCTCAGCAGTAGAGGTTTGCCTGGCAAACATGAGACACTCACTAGGTTCAACGCCTTGCCTGACATGCAAAAACAAAACAAAATATGACAAAAGCTGAGTATTATTTGCTCTTAATGGACATTGTGCTACGTGTCTTGTCTACTATTAGAGTCTACTGCACAGGAGAGGAAACTGAGGTTGTGTCCTAGGGCATTCAGGCAAGAGTGGTGGAGTCCTGGTCCGTCAGTCTTGACAGGTTAAGCCACAGACCCCTCACTTTGTGTGAGTGCCAACCTATCTTGAGGTGGTGATCCAGATACAGGGGCCGGTAGGAACCGGCAAGAAAGCCCCTGAGATAGTGACAACCTAGAATTTCTCAGTAGCCTCAGATGAAGCCTGGGGACAGTTATTGCACAATGGATACCTCTTACGAGGGGACCAAGAAAAGCCAGTGCCATTGTCCATGAGGAGTCCACTTATATGAGATGTCAGGCTCAGTTACTCTCCGTAGTACCTTCCATCTTGGAATATGCCCAGAGGGTTTTTCTTACTCTCAGCACCCATGACCTCTGGAACTACCTTTCCTGATGGATGACGGCTTTCACAGAGAGCTTCGTAAGCTGCTGATGATGTAGGGAAGGGTCTGAGAACCAAGATGCTAGCCTTGGCCTTGCAGCCACAGGACTTGCGATTTTAACCACAGAGCATCAGGAAAGCCCAGCTATTTCTGCCCTTGCCAGGCTAGACCTACTGGTAATAGGACAGAGGGCTGGGAACTCACAGGAGAGCCGCCAACCAGCTAGAGTCTTTGCCTAACTGCCAGGTGTGCAGCTTAGCCTGGAGGAAGGGTGAACAGGATAGAAGAACGCCTGTGGAGTGGTGTAGGGGGCTGGGGCCTGTGCTGATTCCTCTTCATTCTCAGAAAAGCACAGAAATGGCTGAGCCACAAATCCTGTTAGTGCTCTGCTTGTGTCTCTGGAGGGCACGTGTCCAGTGGTCCCAGACAAAGCAGTTCAAAGGCTTCCTGGGGGCAGCAACAAGACAGGGTACCCAAGGGAGGGGCCACAGCTGGGGCTGCTGGGTCCTGGTCAGGCTGGGGGCCCTACTCCCTGGATAGCCTTGGGAAAGCCCCTTTTCCTTTGGGCCTCAGTCCCAATGTGTAAAACCGGAGGGTGAGGGAGAGCAGACCGCCCAAGGGCCTGGGTGCTTGTGGGGTATCCTAAGTCTTGTTCGGGCAGGGGGCCTCAGAGACCCCCTTGGGTGTCGCTTCCACTTCATCTCCTTGTACTTTGCGTTCCTTCTCTGTCCTGGATAGACCTGGCCCACAGAACATGTGTCCAGTACCAGTGTGTCAGCTGGGATGTGGCTTACAGTGGCCTCTCCTTGCTGCATTCACCTGTGACCCTCCACTTTCTCCTGAGATATGTTTGCAGAGTGCTAGGCTGGGGGCGGTACTGAGTTCAGGGTGCTGGCATCTGAGGTACTGGAGTTCATACTGCTGGCGTCTAGGACTGTGGATTTAAATGTCTGGGGTGCTGTGGTAAGAGGTGCTGGGATCTGGGGTAATGGCATTGAGGGTATCTTGGATCCAGCATGTTGGGGTTTGGGGGTACCAGAGCCTAGATTGCTTAGATTTGGGGTGTTAGGATATGGCATCCTTGTATCCAACATGCTGGTGTTGAGGGTATTGGGCTTCACTGCTAGAGTCTGGAGCACTGGGGTCCAAGGCGCCCTCCTCCTGGAGGAGCGAGCCATTCACTTGTGTTGGCACGAGACAACCGTGAACCAAGCCAAACCATGTCTGCGTCAGCTTTTAAAACCACTGAAATGAGCTCACTTGTCGTGCTGTGGTCCAAATATTTTGGCCATTTAGATGCAACCTTCTGTGCTTGGGAAATTAAGTGCATTATTAATCTTGCCTGGCCCGGTGACAGGATAGGCAGATCAGATAAATCTCCTGGCAGCACAGAGAGGGAAGGATGAATGCCTTCTTATCGTAGAAGGAAGATGCTGGTGTTTCTGCAGGCTCTTGGAGGGGAGCTGACCCTTGGGGAGGGCTGACCAGGGCTGAGGCAGGCCTGTGGCACTGGGGCTTATCAAGAGGAGAATGTCCTTGGGGTTTGAACCCTGTTTCTGGATGTTACATGGGTGACTTGGGGCAACGGGCAATGTAGCTGAGGTGGGGCAGGGTACTGTCCTGCTGGATCTCATACTGGGCTTCGTGGAGGGCGGGGGTCCGAGACTATATCTGATCATGAAGGTAATAAAATTCATTGGGAAAGGTGAGAAAAAGCGCAGAGGAAGCTGTGCAAGCCCAGGCTCTCTGTAGAGCCTCACTATCATCAGTGAGTAAGGTGGGATGCATTTCTTTCCAAACTTTAACA